AGACTTTCCATGAAGAATCTTTAGCCCTCAGCAGATAGGAAACCAGAGGATACTCATACTGCTAACTGATGCACAGAAAGTATCAAAGGTACCACTGGTAGAAGGACAGACTCCTGCTCTTAAGCTATAAATTCAAAGAGCTACAGACTCCTTTTGCATAACTCAAAGAAGTGAAAGAGAATATATACATGCACAAGCAACTTTCCATAAAATCAGCTTATGAGAACCAGGATGAACTTCAAAACAATAGAAACACTGTTCCATTATGTGGTACACATTCCTAAAAGAAGCCTTTTCAGCATACACCAGTAAATAAACAAAAATTACTGCCCTCACAAAGCTAATGCTGTAGTAGGAGAGGCAGAAAATACAATAAGCAAAACATGTGTTAAAAGTTAGTAAGCACAATGGAGAAAGATACAGCAAGGGAGGGATGCTGAGAGGAACCAGCTGAGTATTTCTGTAAGGTACATAGGAAAGGTCTTGTGGAAAGTGATTAATTGAATAAGGACTTACCTTATGACCAGGAAAAGATACCAGTCTAACTCCACAAATGCAGATTTAAGGCCGTCTGAGTCTAGCTTTAAATTTTTTTTTAAAAAGGTCTGATGATATTAAACAAGAAACTCAAAATTAAGTTAGCCCCCAAAATGCACCCATCTCACATGCTTAAGTCTACCTTGACCCTCCCTGGCATTCCACAGGTACAAGACAGTCTTTCAGGAACTCCCGTATTTTTTTGGCACTTCACATCAGCAGAACATTTAGGTCAATGGACGGAGGTGGGGAGACTGCCCAAAAGTATGAACCAAGAATATGAGATGTAGGTAAGAGGAAAACTGATTAGAGAAAATGAAAGAGTAGAGAAATGAAAATGAGAAAGAGAAAATTACATGACTCCAAGCAAAGGGGTCAGGAGCAACTTCTAAGGATTCAGACAAAACAAGAGGAAAAGAGCAGAATACAATACCCCTTCTGGTTGGCTTTAGTTGACAACAGTACTTGAAGTCAGTGCACACAGATGGGATGGCTGACAAGATACTCAAGACATACAAAAGAAACCCAAAGCCAAGAAAAGCAATGCATACTGGAATTCCTAAAGGTAGGCTGGAAGCCGTGCACAGCATACAATACAAACTGACAGTTCCAGACTGTCCTGTAAGTACAGTGGGCCTACAACTCCACAAAGAGCAACTGTCTGCCACCCTTCTCAATTTAAGGGTATTGTTAGTGAAGGTATAAAAGTTTCCAGGAACATCTAAGTCTCTCCCAAGGGACTAGATTCTTCTGGGGTTAGACTAAGTATTACAGCCAGGTCCCAGGGCCATATTCTTGACATAGTTTTTTGCCTCTCTTGCACACTTACACACTTCCCCTCTCTTCCACATTTCCCCTCTCTTACACACTTAGACGCATGCACTTCAATCCTTTCTAATTTGGTCTTTGTAACTCAGGAAAACACATTTATAAAAATTACGCCCATCCCTTTTCTTTGAGCCCAGTCAGGGAGTAAGTGCTTCCACCTAATTGAGGAGTCGTTTCTTCCCATCACCAACACATAATACATGTTTAATCATGGTGATACTGAGTGGCACCTGCAAGACAGCAGACTGCAAGTTCCAGGTAAGACTTTCCAATATGACACCAATCACAAGATGACTGCAGCTTTAAGTTACAAAGAAAGGTACCTAATACTCTTTGCAAAGGAAATCAGTATCTATCTTGGCTGCCTTCTTGTATTTCCTAGCCTTAAAATCTGGAGGAAATATTCCTAAGGACCTTGTAGAATCTTTAAATCTTATATTCTTTTTGTTTTTAAAAGAGAATACAAAAAGAACAACAGCAAAATACCAACAATGTACACAAAAACAAAACAAAGCAAAAACAATAAAAGTGATACCGGGTTACCACGTATTACAGCAGCCATTGATATTTTCCTACTAATCTATCCATAACTGTGTTAAGTTTGTAATGTTCCTATCCTATTTCATAATGTATGTTTATTATTATGTGTTTCCTACAACAACCATTGAGAATAGTTAATGATTTTTCAATAGGTCACTCATGTATAGCTCTATTTATTTTCTT